AGGAGAGCTTGCAGAACATGTTTAGCAAAAACAGCACACGCATCAGGTAATGTGAAGAGTCAACCCAAAGGGATAAAAGGGGACCGTTTTACCACAGTGCCCAAAACCCCTCTAACAAATTAACACACAGTGTTTACCTTTTAACGTTTGGGGACATATGGGATTTCTGTTACTATACTGGGATGCCATTAAATGTTAAGGGTGTTTGTAAATGGCAAGTGCCAAATTTTGTCCATCCCGCTACTAAGCATAACAGAGAGCTGTGAGTGAGTATGTGTAACATCACCACAGTGTGGTAACATTTTAATTTCCATCACTCCATCATCATATCTCTATCTCTCTCTTGTCTTTCTCTTCTTAAGCAAGGCAGGGCTCAATCCCTAGGTTTTCTTTTTCTGAAATGATCAGTGTTGACTAGAAGATCCATAGCAGTAGCTTTATGAAAGACAAAATAAAAGTTTGGAGGATTTTCTAACAATGCAGCTGATCAGCACAGAACAAGATTTGCTACCAAGAAATAGAATTTATAAAATGTCAAAATATTCTCTCAAATAATAATGCAATTATAAAGTAGCCACAGAAATTCTCTTCTGTCAAAGAGATGCATTGCTACGTTTTAATTTCATTATGCTGTGCAGCACCTCATTGTTTCAAGTAAGGAGGTGAATTTTTCATGTCAGATCTGAGAGTTCAACTGCTTAATTAAAAAATAATGATAATACATGGCCCATACCACAAGAGGGATGTGCAAACCCTACAGTGAAGACCAATATAGACTTCCCCCCTTCCCATCTTAAACTTGTAACTAACAGGCTGACTTCTCAAAGGGTTCACCTATAAATGAATAACAGTATCTTTTTATTTACATTTGATAACTATGTTGTTGTGATGTTACTGATTTCCACAACGTGACATATCTCAAAATGGACATAGTAACAATCAGGTTACCTTTGTTCTCACTATATTATAGGATCAGCTGTAGGTATTTTGTATGCTTTTACATATTTATTTGATGATACATAAAAGGATGCATACGTTTCATATATATTTAATAGAGAAAAGGAAGCATTTTTATGCATTTTATATAGCTCTGACAAAATTATGCTAAAATATTAGTTGAAATGTATTACATTTGGAACATTGGAGAGCCACCCCGAGTAGACATGGTCTAGAGGGGCAGGGTAAAAATCCAATCAATCAATCAATCAATCAATCAATCAATCAATCAATCAATCAATCAATCAATCAATCAACCAACCAACCAACCAACCAACCAACCAACCAACAAGTAGCCCAGGAAATCCAGTTGGAACTGTTGCTGTATGGTGAGTCATTTAAATAGGATAGTTATTTTGTTTCAGAACTCATTAAACTCTGAAGCTGCCTAATACGGAATCAGATGGAAAGACTGGTACAGTCTTCTCGGAGTGCAGCTGCTCACCAGCATTTTGGACAGATGTTCATTCCAGCCTTGCCTTGCTACCCTGCATTCTTTAAGGACTCATGCTAGCTCCAAACAAAACATAGCTCTGAATTTTATGTACAATGCACATAATCAATACACTGATGCAAGTAAATTAGATGTTGCATGGTTTCTAAGAACCTGTGTAGAACTGAAACATCTGTTGCTGAAGCAGCCTATCCACGGTCCCCCCCCCGCTGCTTTTTTGTCCACAGATGAGATATCGAGCTACTCTGAGCACTTCCACTCTATGCCTATCCTCCTACACTTCCTCCACCCACACTTTGCAAGCACTAGCTGCCCGAGACTAGCTCACTGCTGCAGAATTAAAATGATCAATGTCTGTGCTGTGTTTTCTGGCCAATCCACTCCCAAGGAGATATCTGAAAACTTCCACTCATTCCTTCGACCTATGCTTATGCTTGAGCAAAGTTATATAGCAGCCTTCGGGCAGGGCAATGTGTTGATCCAAGCTTTCAGAGGCACTATGTGTATCCACAACCTATTTGCCTTGTTCACCAAGCTCTGCAGTTCTAAGATGATGATGATTTAGATAAAAAGAGAGGTTCACTTCTTCAAACAAAGCACTAAGACAAATGACAAAGGACTCTTAAATACAGTAAAACAAAACAATGCTAAAATTATGGCATGGCCACAGTCAATGCTGTGGATCACCAGCTATGAGTGCTAATGCAGAACTCTGTCATCTCTGCTAAATTCTGTCCACCTCAACATCTCCACTTTATTAAGAACAAGCTTTGAGTCCTAATGATTTTAAGAATTTCTCACTCTCCTCTTGTTTCTCCCTCTCTTTAGGCCTTACAGACCACAGGTATTTGCCTCACTCAGAAGGCAAATTGCAAGAGGCAAGTATATGAATATCTAGATATATAGCCAGATACATTTGCAATCCAGATGTTACAGATATATGGAGCACATATCTCAAGTTTTTATCATCATTACTGGATCATCAATACCCCAATTCCACATACTTATTTTTACCCACCCCAGTGATCTACCCCTTTTCTCTTTATCTAAAGTAACTGGGGGAAAAGACTCAGTATTCAGGAATTCCAGATATCCAGAATCTGGACTTCATTTGAGAACCAGAGCCAGGTATGCTGGCAACAAATGCAGCCTGACCAATCATAAAATTTGGGTTGCAACCTTTAAAGATAATTCTTATTTGTGTGTGCAACCCTGGTTCAGAATTGAATAGACGTACTGAAGACAAAAGATTTTGAATGCTAAGATCCATGCCACTGTTCAAGTCCATGAACTGCTGAAACTATGGCACTGAATCTATCTATTAATATTTTGCCATGTAGTTTTCTGTGCCATATTTACCATGCTGAACATCACTAAAAGGACTTGGTTGCACAGTCTTGGCTGCCTTTAACTTTCCTTTTTTCACCACAGTTCTTTAATATTGCAGGCAACTGGATACAAGGCAGTGTTGTGAGACAGAACTAAAAACCTACTTCAGCTAGAAAAGAGATGCTACAGTTCCTTCTGTGTTTACTACAGTTCTGCTTTCCTAGTAAATGCTGGCAGTACAACAGGGTATTAACCTTTAAGTGCAGCTTTTGGCTTCAGTTCATAAACTATTTTATTCCCAGAGTAGTCCTATTAAAAATCAGAAGATGCAGGATTTGAATTGCAGCCTTTGACATCATCGTTTGCAATACTGCTTTGGAAAGCCCTTAAGATAAAGCTGTTGCAGGTGCTTTGAATTTGTCCCTTCAACGACACTGCCAACACCGGGTGAAAAATAGGACACTTGCTCAAGCAAGTCAAATCAGGCAGTGTCTAGAGAAAACAGCAGCTTCTGTTTTTACAGTGGCACCATTTCTTGCATTTAAAAGCTTGTTGCTGCGGCTGGGAGAAAACTGCTGCACACAGCACAGACAGCCCGAGAAATTGCAACTAATACAAAGCAAGTCTTCAAACTCATACTCATAAGAGTAGCCTGAACCTTTGCATTGTACTCATAGCCATAACGGGGGCTCACAATATAAGAGTTTTTTATTTGATGTTATTGTGCACAGAGTGTGCTGCTCAAAAGAATGACTAACTAGCCCTCAGTGAACTGTGTGGGAATGTGGGAAGAATGTAGTGCTGCCTTTATTGAAAAATCTGAAAAAAAGCAAAAAGGAAGAGGATTTCAACCTGATGCCTGCTCATAGCCAGGTCCCTGGGGATAATACTGGCATGCCACATATTCTTGAGTATCAAGTATCTCGTCTTACAGAACTGCATCTTATCCCAGCTCCAAAGAACACTGTAAATGCAGCACATTTCATATACAAAACTCTGCTGAACAGGTACAGCAGTGATGCAAATGTTCTTTATGTGTTAAAAAAATTGTTTGATCTGGAAACACAAAATATACTCAAACATGTATATCTAAGTTTATCCTTGTTGCCTTTCACTATGCAAATTCAAATCCTCAGCAACACCTGTTGCAAGGATATGACACATTTCATATAACTTAGCATATTTTACAAGGGAAAAGGTATTAAAATGTGAAGCAAGGAAATATCCAGCTCATATAAATGCCAATCCCAAGAGCACAGTGGCAGAATGTGCAATTGCTTAAATAGAGCTTAGGCAGAGTTTGGTGTGTCACAGCAAAGGTACATGTGTACTAACCCTGAAACACCACTTGTTAGGTTAATTTATACTTGGCTATGGAAAAGGAAATGAGGAAAAAGAAAAGAAGGTGATTATGATGGATGTGCTGCAAGGGGCGAAGGGACAATTACTGTACTGGATTCTGTGCAGCTTCATTCTCATATTTTAGCCTGAACTCTTATGAAGACCTTGTTGTTGTTATAGGCTCTCAGAACTGCCTTAGAACAACCCTAATAGGACTTTCAAGGTAAGTGAGATATTTAAGGGGTGATTTTACCAGCTCCAACAATCCTGCCCCCCCCCATAGCTGAGTGCCTTCTGAGTCCTAATCCATCACTGTGTCCACTACACCACACTGTATATACATACCTATAGTTGGAAGTAATTCCAGTTCACTATAGTGAAGCTTGAGCTTTAGTGAAGAGGTATATGATTGTTCTGTTGGATTCGAATTTGGGAAATTAACTTACAGTTCATGTAACCTGGTCTTCCTCAATTCAGCGGCTTATAATCATGGACTACAACTTTCATCATCATACCCTGGCTGTGCTGTTTTGGATGATGAGAGCTGTAGTCTAATATATCCAGAGCATGCTACCTTTGGCAAGCCTGTTCTAAACTTATCCAAAGTCCTCAAAAGAAGAAAAACTAAATTTTTAAAAAGATGGATTTCTATCATGTTCAAAGATTACACTTATTTTTGGTACTAACAAAGCAAAAGACAGCATAACGAGCTAGCATAAGCATATTAAAAGGTCTATTTGCTCTCTCTCTCTCTCTATATATATATATATATATATTGCTCTGTTGCTGCTCAACTATATGTATCAACTACCTTTTTTAAAAAAAAATTCTTATTTTTCTATCTCTAATGAAAAAGTCCCCAAAGTGACCAAGCACTAACCGCATTTGTCAGCAGAGTCATCAAATTCAACATTGAAGGAGTGCCCATTGTTGAGAATAGTTTTAGCTGTAGATGGGTCATAACTGATGCTCAGGGACTTCAGAGAGGCATCATACTTGGTGGACTTTTTTTGGATATCAATGGGTGACTGACGCTCTCCATTAGCAACAGGGAAGTTTTCATGCCAGTGAGCAGGTCCTAGAAAGAGATGGGAGGTGGGGTAAGAAAGAGAGAACAACTGTAAGCTACTGACAAAACAGATGGCAGGGTCTTTCTTTAAATTTTCATGGTATTAAATTTTTAAAACATAACAAAATGCCCAGTACAGACCTTAATGTCTTAGGTGCAGTAAGAAGGCTTTAACATTTTAACGTTTCATTAATATTGAATGGGAGAATGAAATGATCCCGGCCAGTTGGAATTAGAAGCCTGAGCTAGCGGTCAGAGACAGATCATCTTGAAGAGCAGCTGGAGAGCTGGGAGAAGAACAGGGGGATCTACAAGCTCAGATCTAGACTTGCAAAGCTCTATGTGAAGACGAGGGGAGAGAACCCACACTGAAATTTTGGGTAAAGTATCCCCTGGTCTATTCCTAACCCCTGTCTCTAGAAATTCAGGGGTACGTGACTTTTCAAAAATCTAAAATCAACTGAAATTAGCACTCAGTTGCAAGCTTTTGAGTTCTCTAGTGCTCCTCATGAGGCTACATAATTTTTAAAACATGGGGAGGGGTGGCAAGGCAGCCTTTCTGTTTTTTTGCTAAGGTTTAACCTTATATATACTCAAAAAAGTTTACACACTGCTAATGGGGAACTCCTCTCATAAGAATGGGTATGAAATCCATAACAGGGCTCAAACTGGGCAGCAGGTTCCCTTCACTCTTCCTGGGTGCTGCAGCTGAACATATAGAGATGAGAGCTTCCCTCACATCTCCATTTCCCTAACCCTAGCCACCTTCTCATGCTGGATGGACAGTTTTCCTCCACTCCCAGTTTAGGGGGGACCAAGCTCCTATCTTAACAGGTTGGAACCACAAAAAGGAGCATCATTGTGTGGTGGGGATGATGGAAACCCTGCTCCTCAGATGCTTCCAGGTTATTCCATACAAGAAGGACAGCAGCTTCCACTCAGGCATCCTAGTGATTTGAGAGCAATCCGAGGACCGAAACATCCTCTCCTTCCAGTGGTGTGCCACCAAGAGTATGTGTGAAATTTGGTCAGATACCTTTTCAGAAGACTGAAAATAAATAAATCGATAGATCAGACAGGAGGGGATCAGGTTCAGCCCGGTGGCTGTGGTGTAGGAGAAGCAGGGAGCCCCAACAGCAATCCAGGTGAGGTGTGTTTAAAGATCTCTCCATCCTCTCCATCTCAGACTCCTAGGACGGGGAGGGAGAGACCATTCCTGACGGGCTTTTGCCTGTTCCGCTCCTCCTACGACCTCGGTTTAAGTTGGGATGGTCTAGTTCCAAACGCCGGCATCTCCTCGGGTCAGACCTTACCTTCGCTTCGCATTGCCTCGTATTCATTCCGCATCGCTCCGGCGCTGCGTGCGCCTCTTGGAGCCTGAAACATGGCCATCTCCGTGTCGCCTTTGAAACACGGGGCTGATCCGCTTCTCCGGCCGGCAGAGCGGCGCGGGACCCCCCAGCTCCGCCACAGCGCC